CAACCACCCCCATGCCTCCCCTTCCCCCACACTGAGCCACTATTTCCTGACTTCTTCCCACTTTTTCTATGTCCCACAGCCTGCTCAGTCCGGGTACTGACGAGATGCCCCGTCTCCTGCAGAGCCCGCACTGTACTGAGAGCCACGCATTCCTTGTGACAGCCGCTGCTTGAGTGAGAGGCAGCCCCGGAGCCTCCATGCTGCTTTAATGACGGCCCAGCCTGCACGGCATCAGAGGTGCCCGGGGACCACCAAAATTTTCTCGCGGACCACCAGTGTTCCACGAACCACTTGGCTGGTTTAAATAATACTGTCCGTTCCAGGTGTTCTGTTACCTAATAGCAAAGTACAGACTGTCTCCTCCATTGGGATAAAGAGCCCAGCTCTCTACTCACCAAAACTCCAGTGGTTTAGATGCTGAGTACATGTGAATTCGACCTTTCCAGAACCATTTTGAAAGAAAAAAAGTGGAGGATGGGATTCAAAACATCCTTACTCTATTCTAATTTGGATCCTTTCATTATTTCATTGCTAAGTCTATTGCATGTTGGTTTAATTGGATATGTATCTGCCAACTGTTTAATCAGCATGCATTTTTTTTAAACTTTGCTTTGTTTTTTTTATACTGGTTCATTGTAATTGTTGTTTCTGTTATACATTTAATTCTTCTGAATATGCTATTTGGTCTTCATTACTCTCAGCATCATTGTCTTAGAGAGCATTGCCAGACACAGCCCTGGGGTCCTTGCATATGAATTTGTTTTGCTGGACTGTAGTGTTTTGGGAATTCACTGTTAAAGTATCGATTGCTTCAAAGTGCATCTATGAATGATATATTATTCCATACTGTAAGGACTTCTTTATATTAATAATCTATTTCTACTGGCCAAGTGGGCAAACCTCTACTGGTCAGTTTGTAAATGCACCAAAGTAATTTAAGGTTATCTGTATATATTTATGTGAAGTGCATTCATGCTAAGTATTGTAAAGGTTTAATACTTCCAGAGACATGTATTTACTAGAGATCAAAGTATTCCCCTTGACAATGCTTTCATCTTTTCTTTCCAGCTGGATGGAGCCCTCTTTGTTCAGGACTGAAGAAATTAGATGATTATGTCAGTCTTGATGCCTATGCATTATTGGCTCAATGTCTGACACAGATCAGCCCATGCTGCAGTCTTGCTACAAAATGAAAATGTTGATCAATGGAGAGGAGGCGACTGAGGAAGTGCTCCCCCTGTCTGCAGCAGGCTAGTGGTATCATCTCAGCCGAGGCAAAGTCACTCTACTGGAGTTTAAAAGGGAACTATGGGGTAAGTGTTTTTCCCCATAGTTCTCTTAAGGGTCATGGGAGGACATATACTAGCATCCTCCCGTGAGCCAAAGCTCAGTATATTGCGAGGTACAGACAGTCACCGCTCTCTGCAGGGAGATGATTGAGAAGTGAGCGAGCGACGGTATGTGTTCGCTCACTTCCCGATCGATAGAGCCGACGTGTGACAGTTTAATTGTCACACGTCGGCACGAACTATGAACTTCTTCTTTAAGGACAGTTTTTAATAATAGGTTGATGTTTTTGAAAAATTATACTGTTGCTGTATATTGAGACATGTCGGGAATTTTTTTAATGCTGACTGAAAGGTTCCACCATAAAATGAGAGCATCCTTCATGTATACTCATGCATATTAAATAAAAAAAAATGAAAGTGTTTATACAGCATTCCTTTCTTTTTTGGTAGAGTGGGAAAGGATAAGAACCCCTGTTTTTACTTCTATTTGGTGTTCCATTAGACAGATTTTACCTTGTTTAGCATCAAGATGACAACTGTTTCAGACAGGAAGTGAGTGAAAATCTATACAGACAGCCATAATAACTGGCATGGATTTTATCTCTCCTTTACTGTGCTTAAAAGGTATTCTATTTCTGTCTTTGTTGTTGAATATTTTCGCCCACATCCTGTCTGACGAAACCTTTGCCCACATCATTGCAGTAAAAGCCCCACAGGAGATTTAATCGTTCCCCCTACCCAAAACTAAAGAAAACGAATCTTCCTGGATATACTCTTTAAACTCTGAAACACGTACTGTATGTGTATAGTTGGACACCATCATTGAAGAAAAACGGCAGTATACTGTATTAATACGACTGTCATTGTCATATGGGGTATACTCCACACATTGTCGCAGGAAGCTAAATGGTAGAGACACAAAATATTTTAGGAGAAAACAACATTTTTTTATTACTTTAATCATGTTAAAAAATCTTCCCCTTCACCAGTGCTTCAACAGCAATATTTCCCAAAATTCCCTGCATCTTCCATCTTCTTTATATTATTCCATCTGGTCTACTCCATGCAGCCATTTGCGTTAAAGAATTCATGAGCGACTAAGCATCGGTTTTCACTAAGTGATAAGTGACCTTTCAAGTTGCAGCAAGATGTAAGAAAATATATTTACCTTTTAATAGAATTGCTTTGACACCAGCAATTATAGCTAGCTGTAGAGATGAAAATAGCAATTTTGTGAAAGCATTATCAGATGCGACAAGGCACTGGAGAATTAAATGTATACTGTGTATACTAATTTCTGCCATGTATTTCTCCAAATTAGCTATTAATATGACATTTTTTTATGTGAGAAAAACATGTGAAGAAGCGAGTAAATAAATTCCTTTTGTGTAAATATTTGGTTTCTGTACTTTTTGTTTTTTGCTTTTTTTTCCCCCAGATACAGTAAGGATTTTTTTATTTTGTGGTTAAAGACAGTTAAAGTAGAACTCCAGTAATTTTTTAAATAATTTCAGTGTTACTACCCTTGCACTGCAAGGGTTAACTCCATGTTTTTGT